TTAGCTGAAGAGACTGAACACATCAGAGGGTGTAGGTTTGGAGAAGATTTGTCTGAAGAGTTTGAAAGTCAGATTATATGGACAAAACAGGAATTATTATAGATACTAGTTTTGTTAAAATAATAAAGGGAAGAGTCAGTAATGAAGGCATAGATGTCCAAAAGTATGATTCAATAAAAATGTAGCAGCCCTATTAATAAAACAGGAACCCAAAAAAGTGACTGGGTTGTTTTTATAAAATACTAGTATGGAAGTCAGGTATTTTATTTGCATAAACAGCATTCTGTCTCAACAGTGGCAGCATCAGACTGACCTTGTCTTGGCCTAGATGCTAAACTGGATGGGTAGTACCAGGTAATATCAACCCTGCAGGCTAGACTGGGAAATTAAAAAAAAAAAAATCCAGAAGAACGTAGCAGGCATAGCTAACCACTTCTGTACTGTTTCAAGAGAACTGCATAGATGTGTCCATGTAATCATAGGGACTAGAACTTGATTCAGGGACCTCTCAATTTTTACATGGCTTTCAGAAGAATGTGAATAAGCAGTGTTATTTACAGCCACAGAGTCTTGTTCCACATTAACTTTCCACTCTCATGGAACTCAGTGATAGGGTTCATGCATCACACCACCATGGTTTAATGAATAAAGTACATTTGGCCAAGTCAACATACCATGCTAGACCAAAACCAAGGAAACCACATTATGACTTAGTTCAGTGTGCGAACCTGGCCAGTGGGACTTGGCTAGGTAGCTACAGATAAGACTACACTCTAAGTCACTCCATTTTCCTCTGTGTGAAAGTTTAGCAAAGTCCTTACATGGATTCTTTAATTAATTTTTTTAGATATGCTGGTGAACTTCAGTTTTATTGGACTACAACTTGGACTATCTCCCAGTATTACCTGTGGTTGTACCTATATGATGCTAATATCTATAATATGTTACAATAACTTTTGTTACATAGCCCACTTTTTTCTTGGTGCAACAGACACAACTGAAAAATAATAATCAAATAATGCAATTATATTATCAGTATAATAATGGTAGGGATAATGACCTTATTATGACAAGTTATAATAACCTCATAAAAAATTTAGAGCTCTTTCTTAAGTTGCCATCTGATGCTCAATGCCCTCACAGCTGGCATGGCAAACGGAGGACGCTTCTTCCAACGTCTAATGAGGTTTGCCTTGGGTTGATGGTCAATTCAGAACATAGCTGGCTGCATAAACAGATATTACATAGCTGTGGTTGTAATGAATGTTAATTTTGTAAATACAGGCAGAAGAGAGAGCCAGACAGAAATTCCTTGTGGTGTGTCATAGAAAGCAGAAGGCACAGATATTAGCAGCGTTTTGGAAACCTTCCCAAATCATCATGTACAATTATTGACTTAAAAGAGTAAAAGATGGGAAGACACTAGTTTCTCCCACATATGCAAAAATTCCTGGGTGGCCTAATGTTCTTCGTGGAATTCTGCAAGGGCTAGGCGGTAGGGATCTTCAGTGCAGTTTCCATGGGCCCCTAGAATAACCACTGGACGCCAAAGCTAAAATAAATTTTGTTTTGCTAAAGTATTGCTGAAATCTTATTAATATTTTCCCTC